ATTAAGTTATGCTCCGGAAACTGATTTAAGTTTTGAGGTAATAGTGACCTTGACCTTCAACCTTGTGAGCCCAAAATCAATTGGGGTCTTCTACCCGATATGGACAATCATCCTATGAAGTGTGAATATTGTGGGTGAAATGAAACCTAAGTTATGCTCCGAAAACCAAATTGCTAACAGATGGTTGGACGGGCGCCAGGGGAAATAACTTAATATGCCCGAAATTCTTTCGGGCGTGTAAAAAAAAGAAAAAAAGGAAGTGAAACGAGAATGAGCAACTAGCAGGCATATTTCACATAGAAATGAGTATTCATAGAACACGTATTGGTACTTGTTAGATGCCAATACAAATACAGAAATGCAAATATAAAGTTAAATATATACATCTCTTAATATCACACTAATCTTATATCCGTCAATACAATTTTGGAAATAGCTTTTCAATTTCAATCATACAATAATTGTCAAATAAATAATGAAGTTGTGATAGCCTTGAATCCTTAATGTGCTTATTTGAACATCTCGAAATTATTTTCTAAACACATATTATACTAAAATATGTGATGGTGAGAACGATTTTTCCTAGTGTGTTCAGATGTTCAGATAAGCATTTTATTCGCTATCCAAATATTGTGCCGGCTCCCTATGGCTTAATAGAAATAAAAATTTAACATCAGGCTTAAATCTCATGAGCTTAACATAATATGAAAAAATATGCATGTATTTTAACATATTTATTCAATATGTAGCGGTTTTAAACCATTATGCACGTTCTTAATAAACGAATTCTGGATATGTCAATCAATTAGAATGACGGTGTTCCGTTAAAGTGCAGTACAATGCTGACAGTACGCTGGAGAAACATAAAAGTACTATCACATTGTCATCATCGTACTCTCACGTTGTTCCATCGTACTGTCAGTGCGGAACGAAGGTTACCTATTTTATTTTTAAACAAATTTAATACTACACAGGTAAGGATCTCACACCGGCTGCCGGAACAGACCAGAATCTCTTGCCCGAGAAAAACAGTTAATGTCGGTGACGAGGCTCTGTCGTGTTTCTGCTTAACAGTTTCCCGAGAACTAAATGTTCTTGTCTGTAACGACAGCTGGTGTTTGAATTAGTTCCTTGCATATTTCATATTAATCAAATTACGGAAAGAAGTTACGATAACTAAATATATTTATTTAGCATTTTTTTGTTATAGAAGCGTATCGATTTATAAATTCATAAACACATTGTGTAAAATCAGATAATCACAATAACGTTCATTGATAGTTTTTTTACATGTTTTCTGTCTGTTGTCTTTGTGCTATGAAATATTTGATAGCAAATGTTGCCATAGTTTTACTGTCAGATACCACTGTAAAAAGAAACACATTTCTAATGAATTAGGCATAACAACGAATATCCAACCACTGTCATTGTAAATTTGCTCGGTCATTAAAAGGTAGTCTCATAATAAGTGGATAATGTTTCATACAAGCTCTTAGATAGTCCATCGCAGTGACAATTGTGTTAATTCATTTATTTTTTTTATTTAAAATTGTATGTACAGTTTTAAATGTAGAAAGCAATAAAAAGACGATCTTATTTTTGAAAAAAGAGCCCTTCCGATATCAAAGCTGAAGAGTTAGTATTATGCTAACCGCAATTTGATCAGAATTCTTTACGACATGTTAAAAGATTTAAATTTATTTCAATGAAAACGATTTATGTTATTTTTCAAAGACTTGAAATGGATAATAATGCGAGTTTTTACAGATAGTGCTTCCCAACACCAAAGTATATTCAGGAACGGATTTTATATAATAAAAAAAATTGTTCATGCACCAGACAAAATCTTTTCTAGACTGACAGTCATATCCCTAGTTCCACATTACCTATCCCAACTTATCTGAAAATCGTCGTTTTTTTTTAATTCTAGCCTATCCTTTGGTACAGTTGTGTGACTCTTAGTTGTGTTTTGTCTACGGTCATGGTTATACATGAACCAAATGTACTTACTGCTTTATTTGACATAATGCACTTTCGTCAATTAAGTGGAAAATTTCTGGCGTATGACAGTTGAGTTTCATCATCCAGCCGAGGGAAATCAATGACCGCACAATGTTGTAATATAAATAATCACCTCCTGCATCTGCTTGTTATTCAGAATTTTACACAAAACGTTTTGTATTAGATCTATAGTTCTAGACTTTATTATGATAATTCTATATGATAAATAACAATGCCTACAATTGTTCAATATATATTAAAGGCAACAGTTGACGTTTTAGCAAGATATCATCATCAGCCGTCGATCAAAAATTGTCATCAATATAATACTGAGAGGCGCCTGAAACTATAGACACAAAACTCATAACTACCCTTATGATTAAAATAACATTCTAACACACTTCAAACTATTCCCCTATCAAACAGATATGGAAATCAAGTGCAGTACACGATATATGCATATCATAAAAAGGAATACTCACACGTCATATGACGTCAGACATGACGTCAATAAAACAAGTTATTCTACAACAATGCACTCAGAATTAAAAGTATTAAATATATGATAGACACATCCATAAAAGCTTGTATTTCATGAACGAGCACCATATGACAGAAACGAAAAAAAAATAATATAGAAACAAAGTAATCCCTCCAAAGCATTAATCACAACAAAATTACAAGAGAATTGCAGACTGAGTCTGTGAATCCCTGCACAATATATGTATATATCTGACTTGATACAAAATTTTGAAGTTACTTGAAAAAACATTATTTGAATCTGTATGAAGAAAAAATCAGTGTTAGTGTGTGTTTTGACCTTGCACTTTGCGAGCCATACTCTCTCAGTAGATGGGACCAGGTGGTAGATACTTTGACACACAGTTCAGTCAATGTTTAATCCGACTAAGGATACCACTGTAGGTGACCAATGTCGCCCATACATTTTATCATCTCTTTTAAAGAATTTACAGTTGTACAAGTTTAATTTCATTAATCATGTAAATATATGCATATCTATATGATATCTTTTAACATGGTTTGACAATTTCGTCATCCCATCCTCATCCTAGCCACAGAAAATTAATTGTGTTTTTGCAGCTATTTTGTTCGCGTCATGTTAACAAAACTAAGAATTAAACAATTGGCAGAATATCTTTTTTCTTAATGTAGCGCATCAATTTACAAGTCCATACAACAAAATCATTACATTGTGTAAACTCAGATAATCACAATAACGATATTTGATATTGTTTTATATGTTTTCCTGTTTGCTGTCTTTGTGCTTTTAAATATATGATAGCAAATGTTACCATAGTTTTACTGTCAAATACCACTGTATAGAGATAAGTAAAATGATGTCGATTACATATTTTGCGCCTTGTTACCCAGCTTACTATCAAAACTATCACAAACTTTAATGAACGAGACATAACAACAAATACCAAACCATTGTAATTCTTTCCTTTTTTTACTTGGTCACCAATGGGTTCAATTTAGAGCTGGTCTCATAAGCAGATTATGTTTCATAGTCGTAGATATTCCATCGCCTTAACAATTGTGTTTATTTATTTCTTTTTCACATCAAATTGTATGTACGATTTTAAATGCTTGTCTGAAAATCTTAAATAAAGAAGATAAAAAGACACTCTTATTTTTGAAAAAGAGCCTTCCAGTCGAGGAACATCAAATACTACATCGTGTGAGAATTATCACCTTATGCATCTGCATGCTCTTTAGAAATTGACACAATACGTTTTGCTTTATGTCTAAAGCTCTAGACTTTATCAGGATAATTATGTATGATAAACAACAAAGCATACAATTGTACTATAGAAATCAACGGTATGCTGTTATGGCAAGATATCATCATCAGCCGTCAAACACAAGTTTGCACCAATATAATACCAAGAGGCCCTGCGCAATTGTAGACCCAAAGATAATTGATACCATATTTTTGACATGAATAAATTAATATTTTGAAACACTTTCAAACAGATAGGGTAATTAGGTACATTATATTAAACATGCAAAGCATAAAAAGGAATAATTACACGTCATATGACGTCAGAGATGACGTCAATAAAACAAATTATTCTACAACAATGCCTTCAGAATTGATATATATATTTTCTTAATTAAAAATTAAATAGAACAATTTATATTAAACTTGTATTTCCTGAACGAACACGATATGACAGAAACGAAACCCCGCAAAACATATGTGTATATGATCTGACTTGAAATAAAATCTAGATGTTACATGAAAACACTATTTGAACGCGAGCACAATAAAAAAGATCAGTGCTCGGGTGATTCTTATTTCGTATCGGGTGACCTTGCATTTTGCGAGTCATACTCTTTCAGTGCTAACTGGGACCAGGTGGTAGATACTTTGACACACATATTGTGCTGGTGATAAGACAATATATAGAGCAACGTCGATCCCGAACCTTAGTCTGTTGTCTGGTTACGGAAGTTGAAACATAATTATTTTTTACAATGCGGCGCTTTGACCGTTTCAGAATGATCTGACCACACTTACCGGATGGTGTCACATTAGTCAAACCATATACCGTTTAGTCAATGTTTAATCCGACTAAGGATACAAAGGTAGGTGACCAGTTTCGCACATATATTTTATCGTCTCTTTTGATGAATTTACAGTTGTACAAGTTTAATTTCAATAATCATAATAATATATGAACATATATATGAGTTCTTACTACTTGGTACAAGATTGAAAATTTGTTCATCTCATCCTCACCAAATGCCACATAAAATAGATTGTGTTTTGTAGTTGTTTTGTTCGCTTTATGTTAACAAGGCTTAGAATTAAAACAATTGGCAGAATATTTTATCTACAAATGGATGTGTATCGCCTTACACGTTCCTTTAAACCTTTAGAAACGAACAAAGTATTCATGATTAAAATCATTTACGTGAATCATAAATTTTAGCTTTAGAAATGTTGCAATATGGTACAAGACAAGCATTATAAAATCGACAAGAAGGAAGGGAGTACCAGCGAAAGCAACCGTGTTGACCAGTCAGTGAAACATGTGAGTACAAACTGTTTTATTTTCATTTTTATTTTTACTTTGAAATCATTGAAAGGTACATACATGACTTTTCATTTTATCTTCTTTCACAATGTTCCGTGTTCTAAAACATGTGAAATAAATTACACTGTTTCCTTTAGAGACAGACGTAAAATGTCATTTTAACAGCTAGCTCATTTGTGCCAAGAATACGGAAAAATAGATATATAGTAATAATATAATATTTTAATAATATAAGGCTATTACATAAATATGTTTGGTATAAAATATCATTTACTAAGGTACGCCACTTGTTGGACACAAACTACTTTGTAACTTTGATTTTTTTAAAAATGATAACAATATCTCAATATTTAAATATTCGTGTGCAATGCTCACTTGTATTTCTATAAAAATAGTGTTTAAATGCAATAACGGTGATTACACGACGTATTTTTAACATTTTCCGAAATATTATGTTCACCACGATAGCAAAAATGATTGCTTTTTGTGTATTTCGGAGCAGTATTAGCCTTGTAAACTTTAATTTAGATAGTTCTGCTATTCATGCCATCAGAATTGTTATTATGTAACGCTATGTATTCGTTTCTTTCCGTCGAACTTGCAATTAATGAAAATGTATCGAATGTTTTTTTGATATTTCATGATTCTCCCGGTAAGCCTTCCATGCAAAGAAGAATTAACAAGTTTTGACGCGCCCTTTAAAGATCCTGTAGCACAATTATTTCATGGTTTTATTTCAAAAATGTGATGCTCAAATTAAGATTTGTCAATATTGTAAGTTCCAATAAGCATTATTTATAAATATTATACCCAATTTAACATTTCATGTAAATAAGGGGAGGTAATTAGAAATTTACTTTCTATAAAGTCTAAGTCAAATTTTCCAATAAGAAATGAATGCATGTAATTAATTGATTAAATTTTATGTTCATAAATATTTGCAGTACACATTTTACATATTCTTCGATGTTTTAAAATTGTTTTATTTGCATAATTATATACAAATATATTTTTTGCAAGTGTGGTATACACACAGTAACAATATCAATCACAAAACATACAGGATCTTTAATATCCTCTATCCGCTACAAATGTGTTCTATTAGAAATTGCGTGTGATCGAACTTAAAACTTTATATAAATAAGACAAACCGTTATTTGAACCGAACTCTGAGAAATATCTGAAACATTAAAGACTAAAAATAATCATAAATCAAGTCTAAGACATGAATTTACTATCGATTCCAGAATTCAACTTCATGAATCGGTCACGTGAACCTGCTGGATGTAATAATAACTTTGTGATTATTTCTTAACATTTTATATTTTATGATAAGACCATCAAGATAATTCTTTTGAATATAATAATGTCAACATTGTTCTGTATATTTGCAATCGTTTCATATCTTTTATGTTCACTTTTAGGATCTTTATTCATACACCGATTGTTTCAGGAAGAATGCCATTTCTTGAAACGTAATTGGATCTCCAAATTAATACTATTTCCCCAGTATTTCACAGTCATTCTCTTTTCAGCTTACGTTGTGTTCTTTCGATCAAACTTCGCAAAATCATAATACTTTAGATTTTATTTGCGGTACTGTAATGCTTGCTATGTGGACAGGCATTTATTTTGCTATACTTTGGGCTATTATATTACAAAGGAATACACTACGTTCCCTTCGCAACTCACAGAATACACTCAGTGTTCGAGAGTGAAACATTCGACCTTTGCGCAGGAGAGTAGGAAGAACACACACAGATGTAATAGTAAAAGAAACATCTTTTTTCCATTTTGTGTTGCAAAATACATGTATAATATTTTGTACTTCTCTTTCAGAAGAAACATACTTTTTGATTCAATTCTTGTCTTCTTGAATATTGCCAATCTGTAAAGTATGATGACGTGGACATGTTCTCTCTTGGTATAGCGTTGATTTCAATACTACATTAATTTATAGCATATCATAAAATATTCACTTATTGACACTGATCCTTATTATTTGAAAATAGTTATTTGTTTTAATTGAATTTGAGGTGAAGTCAAATAATATAGAGTGTTGAATGTATAGCTTGATCTTGTTATAATTCCCATTTTCGATTCATATCGGATTAATTAAAGCTTTAATTGACCCTAATGTTACACATACATGTATGTAAAGAGGTATTGTCGCTGATATAAGAAAGAAATATTACAAACTTATTAAATGCTTTGAATTTCAGGTAAGTTTGTCGCTTTTGGTTGTTCTGATAACAACAGACACAAATGCAGGTAAATATTAGCTTTAAGTTTTACAGTCATACAAGTAGTTGATATTCTAACATTGTTGTCTATAATTTCATATGTTTTAAAATGATTTCATGCATACATAGATAATATATTTTGTGAAGACTTCTTACCCTAAATGAAAAATAAATCTACAGTTTAAGGACTAATTGTTAAAACATTTCTTTTTAAATCATGTAAAAACAAAGTATATAGTGTAAACGTAATAACTAGTAGTACTGAATAGACAGTTGTTTCATTTTTGCTTCAGCTCTCGTCAACGTTGCACTTGGAAAACCAGCCAGCATGCCAAGTATCAGGGGATTAACCTGGACTGCTGATTTAGGCAATGATGGTAACGCTGATGATAACTTTTTTAACAATCATTGTTTCCAAACTGATACTGAAATGAGTCCCTGGTGGCAAGTTGACCTTCAAGATGTTTATTACATAAGTCAAGTGAACATCACCAACAGGAGGGACTGCTGTAGTATGTAGCTTTAATCGCTTTCTATATAAATCTATAATAGGTTAGATTATACATAGTTTTGAAGACGACTTCTAGAATTCTACTCCTTAATTTGATAAATTGGGATACAGCATTCTAATACTCATATTTACTTGCTATTCAACGGATAGTTGTCTCGTAGATATATAGCATTAGATATAATGCATTCGTGAATTGAATGTGTCCTGCTTTTTCAAGGTTTACGACTATACGATATTACACTTTCAAAATATTAAAAAAAAGAAATAGCACAATATGCAGGCAACTTATTTAGTTTTAATTGGTACATTTTAGTTTGATTATGTAGGAAGCCACACTCTCGAATCTGTTCTTGAAAACAACAGTAATAATGAGTGTAACGTTTCTTGCTCAAGGACACAACGGCTTCCCCCTAAGAAATTTAAACAAATGCGACCAGCAATCCTTAAAGAACTGGTTCGAAGGGTCAACCACTTGACCAACCCGTCACTTTATGTTGAAGTTGGTGTCGGGGTTGTAAGTAAATGGTTAGTTTTAGCTGTAAAGATAGAATATTAATTTGTATTTTCAGCCGATAGAGCGGCGAATGTTGAAATTTCCGTAGCGACGGACAGTCCCAGTAATTGGACTGTGGTAGCGTTTCAGGAAGGTCAAATGGGTCTTTTCAAATCGTTCACATTTGATACAGTAACGGCTCGTTACATCAGGGTAACTTTAAGAAACGAAGAATCAATTTTTCATCTATGTGAAGTGGAAGTATTTGGAGAAAGTAAGGCATTTGTTTTTATATATATCGTAATGTAAAATGATACATGTTTGTAAATCTACACAATAATATACTAGTATGGTTAAAGGAAATCTAAGTCCCACTATTGTTATTGTCATTCTTTTTCCTTTATATCTATCAGCCTTATCTATATGGCATTTCAAAGGTTGTTTTGTTTTTTTAACTGAACAATATGGATTATTTTATTACGAACACCGGTTTTTATTTCTTCTTAAGAGCACAATTCTTATTTCACTGTTAGATTAATGTTATTGTTATCTTTATTAAGTTACTCCCGTCGATGACTGTGCTGATAGTCCATGTTTGAACGGCGGCGTGTGCACTGATGGGATCAATAGCTACACTTGTCAATGTACACAAGGGTTTTATGGAAATAATTGTGGACAAGGTAAATATATCTTTGTTTGTTTGTACATGTTAAAACACGGTTGCAAAACTAATGAATGTGCTCGTTCTTTTCAAAGCAACATGTTAATTTAGTGAGTAAGTAAATTCTTTATGTAATATATTGTGAACATTGAGCGCTTACATGTTTACATGTGTAATATATTTATTTTTCTTTCTAATGTATCATATTGTCCTGTATATAACAATTTTCTGAGTTTCTACATGTAAATCGGGGGCTTCCGTGGCCGATTGGTTAAGGTCGTTGACTTCAAATCACTTGCTCCTTACCGTTGTGGGTTCGAATACCAACAGGGACTTGGATTCTTTCATGTGAGGAAGCTATCCAGCTAACTAACGGAACGTCGTTGGTTCTACACAGGTGCCCGTTCGTGCCTGAAATAATGTATGGAAAGGCACCTGAGGTCTTCCTCCACCAGTAAAGCTGGAACGTCGCGATAAGACGAATACTGTGTCCATGTGACGTAAAACCCAAAACAAACAAACACAACATGTATATGGCAACATGTATATTTGAAAATGAAGTTGTAAAACAGTTTTTACATAAATTCGTAGCGATGTCTGTTGGCTCAACAGAACAACATGTACGGCACGTTGTTCTCGTTATATACACAGACTAAAACGGTATGAGGGAAAACAAGGCTTACATTCGTAATTAAGATTAGCATTATAATATGATGTAGGCGTAGTCAGTTGCAAACAGTGTACATGTCATTACATCTGCTGTTGATTTTTTCATCTCGTTTCTATAAATAAGTACACAACGACACTTTTCTGTTATAACCGCATTCATTTCTCTCAATTTTTACTATGACCTAGAGCTGTAAAAATGTTACCAAAATCAATCATAGTTTCAAAGTTTCATATATTATTGTTTAAATACTAATAATTAATTACATGTATTCAACACTGATCTTTAATTTTATCTAGCATGTAACATGTTTTGCCGTAATTGGCGACATTAATTCAAAGGCTTCATTTTGTAAGCGTTAAACAAACTAAGATCTCACGATATGCGCCTGCAAACAACCTTATAAATAAAAAACATTTGTAACGTCCCTCTTTACACCAGCCTTTTTAAAGTAGTATGTTGTTTATGCAGTTTTCATGCGGTTGCCCTACGCTTTAACAGATCACTATTATTTTATAAACAGTAAAAAGAAACAAGACTACCATCACTGGACCAAAGTGGTCTTGATATGCAGGCTTCATAACCTCTGATCCCCTTTCAAAATTCTATTTTAATTAGTTCCGCCCATTGTTTTCTCGTTTAGGGTACACGCTTTTTATTACTTGGGGACCATACGCCGCTTTTCATGGAATGGCACTTACGTGTCACATTGAAGGTTCCATGATAACCGCCGTATGAACACATCTGCGGATGTTTACAAATTCAAAATTTTACTATTTCATGTTTAAATGTTTAATTATGCTTAGGCCGGTGCTAGGGGGCGTGGACGGTAACTTGCACTTTCCATTACCGTCCATGAACAGGCTCAATCAAACCGAGCCTGCAACATTTTCAATTTTGTCGTGTTGGGCTTTCTTTAGGGATTCTGTATTTCTCTATTTAATTGCGGGATGGTTTTAATTGTGGATATTTCTATCATTACTAACATACTTTATGACCATGGTCTATTTTAGCCATTTTGTATGATGAAACAATATGTATCTTAACCTGCAAATACAATGTAAAAGTATGTTAATATATTCTAACTGATGAGAGGATCAATTAATCACTCTAAAATTTACTTTTTGAGCTATTTTTCTATTCAAAAACCCCAAAAAGTACAGTTTAAAAGTAATTGATATTCTAGCATTGTTGTCTAAAAACTTAAATGTTTTGAAAATATGTTCATAACTGTGTTCTATCGACTTCCATTTTTATTTCAGCTCTCGTCAACGTTGCACTTGGAAAACCAGCCAGCATGCCAAGTATCAGGGGGTTAACCTGGACTGCTGATTTAGGCAATGATGGTAACGCTGATGATAACTTTTTTAACAATCATTGTTTCCAAACTGATACTGAAATGAGCCCATGGTGGCAAGTTGATCTTCAAGATGTTTATTACATAAGTCAAGTGAACATCACCAACAGGAAGGACTGCTGCAGTATGTAGCTTTTATCTTTTGCAATATACATCTGTTATAGTTTAAACATAGTTTTGAAGACGACTTCTGGAATTCTATACCTTGATTTGATATATTGGGATACTGCATTTTAATACTCATATTTAGTTGTTACTCAACGATGAAATTCAATTAAACAGTTGTCTAGTAGATCTATAACATTAGATATTATCATGCATTTGTAAAGTGAATGTGTCCTGCTTTTTTTAAGTTTAACGACAATCCGATATTACACTTTCAAAATATTAAAAAAAAACACAATATGCAGGCAACTTTTTTTAATTTTAGTAAGTACAGTCTAAATTGCCTGAGCGACCCCCTGATTTCAACGACTCCCGGTCTTAACCAACCTTGTTTCAGTCCTCCCAACGTATGTCTCTATATAAATGGTCTGAATTACATGACTACAAGCGACCCTTATTTTCTGGTCCTAATTCATTGCTTTGTCTGATTTAAACGCTTTTCACACCTTTTAATTGTCCATTTAACAGACATTAACACCCAGAGGGCCCAACTAATTATTATATAGTGCAATTATTATCAAATATTCAGAACACTTCAAACAACCTCTACACATCTCTGCATCAATTACACAGTTTACATGTATACAGGTATCAAGTGACGTATTGCCAAATATGGTGAGCATGATGCAATCGATGTGTTTGAACAATTTGAGGTGCAAAGTACATAAGACCTGAGCAAACTGGATTAAGTTTTTGTGTCAGATTTTTTATTGTTAACGTAGCGTCAACGGAAGATTTTTAGGCAGCATTGTTTATTTAACCTTTCTATGGCTACGTGAATTCTACTTGAAAATGTTGATACCTTCCATTTAAAGAGAAAAAAACTTATTAAAGTATGATATTTATTTCAAGGTTTTTGAATGCATCAAATTCAAGTTTATTTGTACAAAAACGATTCAATAGAAATCTTATATAAAAAAAGATTTAATTTGATGTGATATACATGCACTTATTTATATTTGTTTTCCATGGATTATTATTGTATTTACATCAAATATTGAAAGTACCTATGTTTATTTGCAATTGGTAACATATTATTTCTTCACACATTTATGCATATTTAGTCACGATGGCATTCTAATTTAAATTTTCTTTGAGACTGTATCAGTCTCCCTGTTATATGTGACCGTTTTCTTGGGGTCCCTTGGAAAGTCACACATGACAGTCTTGACTGTAGTTGATATAGAATAAATTTTAGTTCGATTGTGTAGGAAGGTACACTCTCGAATCTGTTCTTGGAAACAACAATACTAATGATTGTAACGTTTCTTGCTCAAGAAAAATAAATGGTTAGTTGATACATTTATTGTTATTTTCAGCTGATAGAGCGGCGAATGTTGAAATTTCCGTAGCGAAGGACGTTCCCAGTAATTGGACGGTGGTAGCGTATCAGGAAGGTGAAATGGGTCTTTTCAAATCATTTACATTTGATACAGCAGAAGCACGTTACGTCAGGGTTACTTTAAGAGACAAACAAACAATATTTCATTTATGCGAGGTGGAAATCTATGGATACAAACTAAAGAGCGCTTAAGCCTAGGAACTTCAAACATGTTATGGTGATTGGTCATGAACAGTAAATGACCCCTATTGATTTTGGGGTCAAGGGGTCAAAGGTCAAGGTCACATTGACCTTGTAGGTGAAAACGGTTTCCGATCTATAACTTAAGAGCGCTTAAGCCTAGGAACTTCAAACATGTTATGGTGATTGGTCATGAACAGTAAATGACCCCTATTGATTTTGGGGTCAAGGGGTCAAAGGTCAAGGTCACATTGACCTTGTAGGTAAAAACGGTTTCCGATCAATAACTAAAGGGCGCTTAGGCCTAGGAACTTCAAACTTGGTATGGTGATTGGTCATGACCAGTAGATGACCCCTATTGATTTTGGGGTCAAGGGTCAAAGGTCAAGGTCACATTGACCTTGTAGGTAAAAACGGTTTCCGATTAATAACTAAAGAACGCTAAGACCTAGGAACTTAAACCTGGTATGGTGATTGGTCATGACCAGCAGATGACCCCTATTGATTTTGGAGTCAAAGGTGAAGGTCACATCGACCTTATATGTAAAAACGGTTTCCGATCAATAACTTAAGAACTCTTAGGCCTAGGAACTTCAATTTTGGTATAATGATTGGCCATGACCAGCTGATGAAACCTATTGATTTTGGGGTCAAGGGGTCAAAGTTCAAGGCCACATTTACATGAAGATAAAAATTGTTTTCACTCTATACCTAAAGGACGCTTAGGCCTAGGAACTTCAAACTTGGTATGATGATTGGTCATGACCAGTAGATGACCCCTTTTGATGTTGGGGTCTAAGGTCAACGTCACATTGACCTTGTAAGTAAAATCGGTTTCCGATCAATAACTAAAGAACGATTAGGTCTAGGAACTTCAAACTTATATGATGATTTGTCATGACCAGTAGATGACCCTATTGAACTTGGGGTCAAGGGTCAGTGTAAAATTGACCTTGTATTTTAAGATGGTTTTTGACCAATAACTCAACAAGTCAAGTTGCCTTGGTTGGTTTTTTTATATTAAACTAAAAATGCTTTTGGTATACACATTTGAAGGTCTTATGTAATATAACAACTTGGCTGTCATTAATGAGGCCTACATGCTTCATAAAATTTATGCATATTTTATTTGGTAAGATTTGTAATAACTTAAATTGCTGCACACAACCTATGGGGTCACAATAATTATTACCTTGTAACTAGTCATGGCCAGTAGATAACCCTTATTAATTTTTTGTTCACTGGGTCAGAAGTCATGCATAATAACATGATCACAGGACTAATTGGCTGCCCATCGGGGGCATACATAACATATCTTGTTTATTTCTTTTTTTTCACTTCAAATATAAACATTGACTGAACTGTGTGTCAAAGTATCTATAACATGGTCCTAGCTACTGAGAGAGTATGACTCGCAAAATGCAAGGTCAAAACGCACACTTACGCTGATCTTTTTTCTAATGCTCGCAGTCAAATAATGTTTACAAGTAACTTCAAAATTTGTATCAAGTCAGATACAAATATTTTGCGGGGTTTCGTTTCTGTCATATCGTGCTCGTTCATGAAATACAACATTTTTATTGATGTGTCTATAATAATTTGAATTATTTTAATTCTGAATGCTTTGTTTTAGATTAATTTAGTTTATTGACGTCATATCTGACGTCATATGACGTGTAAGTATTCCTATTTATGATATATATATATATATATATATATATATATATATATATATATATATATATATATATATATATATATATATATATATATATATATATATATATATATATATATATATATATATCGTGTAATGCACTTGATTTCCCTATCTGTTTGATAGAGGAATAGTTTAAAGTGTGTTAGAATGTTATTTTAATCATAAGGGAAGTAATGATCTTTGTGTCTACAGTTGCATTGCCTTTCGATATTATATTGATGACTATTTCTGTTTGACGGCTGATGACTATATTTTGCCATAACGGCATCTGTAACCTTCGATTTCTGATGTACAATTGCAAGCTTTGTTGTTTGTCATGTAAAGATGTCATGATAAGTTTAGAACTATAGATCTGCGGTCGATGTTCCTCGACTGGATGATGTAACTCAACTGTCATACGCCAGTAATTTTAAACTAAATTGACAAAAGTGCTTTATATAAAAAAGGCAGCTATATAAGTACACTTTGTCATGTTTAACCATGACCGCAGACAAAAACACAATTAAGAGTCACAGAACTGTACCAAAAGTAAGGCTTGAAAAAGCAAACCCGGAGATATTCAGATAAGGGATAGGTTGTGTGGTACTTCGGATACAACTTTCAGTCTAGAAAATATTTTGTCTGGTGCATGAATGTTTTGTTTTGAAACTTTAAAATTAAATATTTTTTTCCCGAATGTACTTTAGTCCTGAGAGGCACTGTCAGTATAAACCCTTTTGCGAGTAGCAATACTCGCATTATTATCAATTTCAAGTCTCCGAGAAAATTTCAATAATCGTTTTTATTGAATAAATTAAAAAAATTAACATGTCATAAAATATTCTGATCAAATGGCATTTAGCGTAATACTAAGATTAATTAAGGTTAGATATTGGAATAGCTCTTTTTCCCAAAAAATGCGGTTTTTTCAAAATTGTTCTCAATATTTTATAAGCATTTAAAACTGTTCATACAATTTGAAGTAAAAAAGAAATAAATGTACACAATTGTCACGGCGATGTAATATCTAAGGCTATGAAACATCATCCACTAAGGAGACAATTCCTTAAATAAACTCATTGATGAACGAACAAAAATACGATGGCAGTGATTTGATATTTGTTGTTAAGCCTAATTCATAAGAGTTTGTGTTTATTTATACAGTGGTATCTAACAGTGAAACTATCATATATTGTATAGCATAAAGACAACAGACAAGAAAACGTATGAAAAACTATCCATGATCGTTATTGATATTATCTGATTTTACTTAATGTTATGGATTTTTTTTTGCTTTCACGAATTTGTAAATTGAAACGTTACTAAAATGTATAAGAAAATGGTACTTAATGAAAATTTTATTTATCGTTACTTCTTTCGTAAAATGATTAATATGCAATGTGCAAGAAAATGAATCACACACCAGCTGTCGTTACAGACGAGAATATTCTTTTCTTGGGAAAATGTTTAGCGGAAACTCGGCAAAGCCTCGTCACTGGCATTAACTGTTTTTCTCGAGCAAGATATTCCGGTCTGTTCCAGCATCCGGTGTATGATCCTTATCAATCAGTTTAAAAATAAATGGTTACCTAAACAATTAAATAGATATTAACTTGGTAATCCAAATTTTCAATCTTTCTGAATTAAGTGAGTTTGCATTATACTTGTCAAGGTTATACAGATCTATGGGAAATACTTTAAAACAATGTGCAAATCTTAGTACCGCTCATACCTGAAATTTAATGTCAAATGGGCACCAAACCTCTTCCCCTACCAGTAATGCTGGAAAATCACCATATGACGGTGACGAGGCTCTGTCGTGCTTCTGCTTAACATTTTCCCGAGAACTAAATATTCTTGTCTGTAACGACAGCTCGTGTTTGATTCAGTTCCTTGCATATTACATATTAATCATATTACGGACGCAGTTACGATAACCATTACATTCATTTCGAACATTTTTCGTATAGTAGCGCATCAATTTATAAATTTATTAAAACATTGTGTAAAATCAGATAATCACAATAACGTTCAGAGATAGTCTTTTATACGTTTTCCTGCCTGCTGTCTTTGTGCTATGAAATATATGATAGCAAATGTTACCATAGTTTCACTGACTGATACCACTGTATAGAGCAATACAAACTCTAATGAATTAGGCTTAACAACAAATATACAACCACTGCAATCGTATTTTGCTCGATCATTATTGGATTTATTAATTAAAAGGTAGTCTCATAAGTGAATAATGTTGCACACTCGCAGTGACAATTGTGTTAATTATTCCCAAACTTCAAAGAAGAGGGGGTATATTGCTTTGCATTTGTCGGTCCGTCGGTCCGTAGACGAAATGGTTTCCGAGTGATAACTAAAGAACCCTTGGGCCTAGGAACTTCAAACTTGGTTTGGTGATTGGACATGACCAGTAGATGACCCATATTGACTTTGGGGTCAAGGGAGCAAAGGTCAAGGTCACATTGATCTTGTAGGTAAAAACGGTTTTCGATCAATAATTAAAGAGCGCTTAGGCCTAGGAACTTCAAACTTGGTACGGTGATTTGTCATGACCAGTAGATGACCCCTATTGATTTTAGGGTCAAGGGTCGCAGTCACATTGACCTTGTAGGTAAAAACGGTTTCCGAATTATAACTAAAGAGCGCTTAAGCCTATGAACTTCAAACTTGGTATGGTGATTGGTCATGACCAGTAGATGACCCCTATTGATTTTGGCGTCAAGGGGTCAAAGGTCAAAGTCACATTGACCTTGTAGGTAAAATAGGTAAAAACGGTTTCCGATCAATAACTAAAGAGCGCTTAAGCCTAGGAACTTCAAACATGTTATGGTGATTGGTCATGAACAGTAAATGACCCCTATTGATTTTGGGGTCAAGGGGTCAAAGGTCAAGGTCACATTGACCTTGTAGGTGAAAACGGTTTCCGATCTATAACTTAAGAGCGCTTAAGCCTAGGAACTTCAAACATGTTATGGTGATTGGTCATGAACAGTAAATGACCCCTATTGATTTTGGGGTCAAGGGGTCAAAGGTCAAGGTCACATTGACCTTGTAGGTAAAAACGGTTTCCGATCAATAACTAAAGGGCGCTTAGGCCTAGGAACTTCAAACTTGGTATGGTGATTGGTCATGACCAGTAGATGACCCTATTGATTTTGGGGTCAAGGGTCAAAGGTCAAGGTCACATTGACCTTGTAGGTAAAAACGGTTTCCGATTAATAACTAAAGAACGCTAAGACCTAGGAACTTTAAACCTGGTATGGTGATTGGTCATGACCAGCAGATGACCCCTATTGAT